ATTACTTGTATTGGAAAACAGTGCCCAAAACCAAACTGTCAAAAAAGCTTAGGAGGCTTCCTTTCCCCCAAATTACTTGTATAAAAGCAAATCCATGCTCATTTTTATACCAATGTATTATAACCTACTATGTGTACAGTCCTATGTCAGGTTCTCATGATAGGTATAAAAAATAATGAGTATAAAATGAAGTCCCTTATTTTAAGAGATTTATAATTTAATGGGGTAGAAAAGGTCCGTGAAGATGTATAACCTAATTCAGGATATTTTGAGGGGCAGTGGAAAGGTGCCAAACAAATTTCCTATGCCTCTTTTCCTAAGAAATGTGGGCACTGAAGGAGGTGGGAGGGTTGAGGAAAGATCTTGTTCTGAGGACTAGAGTCAAGCTGGGGATCAGTCCTGCTACTTCAGCCTGCTCAGCTTTAAGCCCTGGAGCTGTGTTCAGCACTACCCTGTCCTGAGCCAGCAGGGGAACCTAGGCCATCTCTCTGGGGCTCCTCCCACCAGCAAAGAGGCTGCTGCACCTGCACCATATCTGCTAGAGCATTGTGCTCAGCCTTGCACTCTGGATGTAGTCCTAGGAGTATACCCAGGTCTTCTTGGACAGGGGCCCTGGCTTCTTGCCTAGACCCAAGTCAGCATGCTGAATCCCTTATGTGGATTCCCTAGCTATGAGAATGGTTATCTCCACACATGTCCATTAGTGAAGCTTATCATGCAGATTGCATTAGTTTGCTATATTCTCTTGCTCTCCATCACCTGGACTGGGACTGAGGTCTTTCTCCAAAGTCAGCTAATCCCCTGTTTTCAGTGAGTGTCCCCAGCATATTTTCATGTGGTGTTTTCCCTCCTCTCCTCTCCCACAGGGTGGAAGGAACTCTTGACAAGTGTTGCCGCTAAACCAATGTATTGACAATAGTAGCTGGGGGGAGGGGGGGGAAGCAAACCAAGGGCAGGGGGCTTCAAGATGCAGTCAGAAAGGGATAGTTGGTGGTAGCAGGTCCCCAAGAGCCCAGTGAGAATGAGCTCTGGTATGCTGGTATGTCTTCTATACAAATCAAGTAAAACAGAGCTAACAATAAAAACCCCTTACGTATGTTGGGTTCTTCACTGAGGGTTTTGTGAGTATTAATTACTGTACTGTATTTAATACTCACGGTCCTAATGTCATTCCCAATTTGCAGATTAGAAAACAGAGCCCAGGGCAATTAGATCACTGGTGCGGGCCATGTAGGTGATAAGTGATGAAGCTGGGTCTACACTCATGGTCCTCCCTACATTCCCCTGGGAGGTGTGTATTAGTGAAGTCACTGCAGGCTGAGCTGCAGGGAACAGAGGCTGAAGGCTAATGTTGAAAATTTCCAGGCTGTAAAGGACGGGAAGTGAGGTCATCTCCAGAGACTGGGCTTGGGGAGCTTAGTCATCTTCACAGAACTTCATAGAACTTAATAGGAAAAGGATCAGAGTGGCCACTGTGGGATAGTCAGGGGAGTCACCAACAGGGCTCACAGGAATGCTGGCCAGCAGCAGGGGCCCAGCTGGTGCAGCCTAACGTGAATTCTGCAGTGGAACTGATGAATGGAGTTTTATGATTTTCTCCAGCCAGCTCCCGCTGTCCATGCACACAGGACCACAGACGAGATGCTGTCATCTTACTCCCTCTTCAGGACCCCACACTTGATTACAAACCTGGAAGTGCAATTTCGTGTGCTGAAGCCCTGAGCCATCTGTAGAGAGGGGATAATGGGATCCCATGGGGCCAGGGATGGGCCAGGTGGGGATGGTGGAAGCTTGAGATGGGCAAATAGGGAGCTTACTGCTGTAGGGCCTGGCTGTGGGGAGGTCTGTAAAATCAGAATGGGGCCTGGGAGAGTTGAAAGGGGGTGGAGGGCTACAGTGAAAAAGAAGCCGTTTGCAAAACTCCATGGATTGATAGCCACACATCATAGGAGTGCAGGAAACAGCTGCTTCCCTGCTCACCTAGGGTAAGTGATGATTTGTCAGGCAAGAGTAAGGGGACACCAATTTCTTTCTGTTTGGTGCTAAAGAAAACCAGGGCCTGTATAGGCTGGCAAGACTGTGGCCCCGGCAAAGCCCTGATGTTCACTAACAAGGTTGTATTACAACCACACTCTGCTTCCCAAACAGTACCCTCAGGAGAAAAGAAATAAAGTCATTTTTCTTTGGAGGCAGAAGATTTAACATTGCTTAACAATAACATTTAACATCGCTTAGCCCCTAGCCCCAGGCAACCTTTTAACTACCAAGTGCAAGGGATTGTCTTTTCCCTGCACTGGCCAGGGCTCTTTCTTGGCTCTATTTTGTGTGGTGTCATTTAGCTTGGCAGCAGCCTTCCAGGGCCTGCTTTAAAGATGACAGAGTTTCATGAAAGCTTCTGAGGATGCCCTTTGACTGGGGCTTCCCCTCCTCTAGGCACTGCGGGGCAATTCTCCACATTTGGCATATAAATCAGCATTATTGAGCTTCTCTTCAAAACTCCTGTGACAACCTCTACAAACAACACAGGAACCAAGCCACTTAGTAGCATATGAAGTCCCTCACAAGGGTGGCCACTAACTTCCCATAGATAGGATTATTCCTATTTTTAATTAAAAATTTAACTTCATAAATATTTCAAAGTTCCCCTCTCTGTGACAAAAAAAGGATCTGGTGCCTATGGAGCTGTGCTCAACTCGAAGAGAGAGAAGTGGGCTGGTATGATTCAATTGGGACAGTAAAATCTCCAGGATGGGGGAAGACAAGACCTGGCTCAGTGTCAAGGATGCAGAGCTGAGTTTGCACACCTTGTCAGAAGGCAGCAATGCATCCCTCACCTCTACATCCTGCATCCCTTGTGGGCAAGTCTGGGTCCCATGGACTGGACACAATGCCTGCAAGGGAGCTTTATGTCTCTCTTTAGATTGTAAGATGGAAACCAAGGTTTGAGCTTCCCCATTGAAGAATGAGTGCCAGGGACCTCCCATGCATGTGTCTGAGCCCTGTTTATCCTCCATCATGGCAATTTCTGGTTGCCAGGTAGTTACAATGGTCTGTTTGCCCATGCAAACAGCACCGCTACCACTTTCATTGTGAATGAATGCACTTTTTCCAGAAATTATTTTCAGCTGAAGATGCTTCCCTTTCAACCACATTTACATTCTTGAGGCTGGCAGGATTTTGTCAGTTCCTACACTGGGATGACTGCACCACAGCCACAAACAGCATTAACATTCTGCCTTTCAGAAAATCCCTTCTGCAGTGTTTACTCCTGAAACAGTTGTTTAGAGTCAGCTATGATTGGGCATTTCAGGACTAATTAGTGAAAATGAACAGGAGTTGGAAATTCAGAGGACTTCATATTAATAATTACTACTGTAAGCATTTGATGCACTATCATAAAAGGATGATTATTTGCATCCTTTTCTAAAGAGTTGAGTCCCGAGGATAGATTGGGATTATGTCTTCAATTTCCATTCTCCCAGCCTTGATGCATAGTAGGTATTCACCAGATACATGTGGAATGAATAAATGAGTCAAATTTATAGAATTTTAAATGCTATTTCTGTGCGTTTGATTTGAATTTAAAATATCCATTTCTGCACTCAGAGTACAATTTGGCCAGGAAGGGATTAAGCTGTTTCCAGCCCCCCTCCCCTCAAAAACCTATTACTTTCCATCTGTCCTAACCGCAATTTCCATACACTTCAACAGTGAAAGCCGGAAGTCTTACATTTAAAATGAATCTTGGAAACGACTTCCATTTTTAAAAGAAAACAAAATAATAGGGCAGGGGAAAAAATAGTAATAAGAGATAAACCATGGGTGAGAAAAAACCAAAACATTATGAGACAACTTAAAAAAAACACAGGGAGATAAAATATAGTGTGCAGGAGCTTTTAAAAGACTGTATTTGGGGTATCCTGCCTAATCAGTATTAAAAACTGATTCTCTGCCAGATTTGAGATTTTTATGACATTTGAAAATCAACACACTCTTTGTAAGAGCAGATGGTCACCTAGGCCATGCCTGTTGTAATGTACAGGATGTTCCTTTTGTGGAGTCATCTGCAGAAGTATAGCCAACATGCAACCCAAAACAGGAACTCCACCTCTTGAGTTGGCATTTTAGTAGCTCAGCTTTGATAACAATGAATGTCTACTTGGGGACCCTTCCAGCACCCCTTTTCAAGGCGACATTCTGAAACACCTTAGTTTAGTGGCTGGCATTAACCTTTTTTTGTTTCTCTTTCAAACTCACTAATTCTCACACTCTCAACTCATCTAGTTCCCATGGTAGCTGGACGGTAAGTCATCTTGGCAAGGTTTCCTCTTTGTCACAAATTTCTGATAGTGGACTAACATTACTCTTCATCTCACAGATAAGAGCACCAACCTTTGAGAACTGCATCTCATTTTCAGGGGTGTCTAGTTACAGCATAAGTGGATCATGTTGGGTCAGTGTTGCCAAGTGAACTTTTCCCACACATTTGTTCCTTTTCCCACTGTGTCTGTGCCTCTTACCAATATTTGCTTATTGCCTCGAGGAGGCTGTCAGATTCTAAATCAAGCAAAAAAGCACCTTCCCAGCTTCACATTTCCTACTCTTTAATACCCACACAAAGGACCAAGGTTAAGGTTGGCCCGCCCTTTCTCATGGGTAACTCCTAGGACAAAGGATTTACTATTTTATTGTCTCTAAGCTTGGTGCAAGATGTTCAATACTATTTTTATAGCAGTGGCTTAGGATTTCCATTTAGTATCCAATATTCTTGCTGACATGTTCAATTGCCATGATATACTATTTTTCCCCCTTAAAAAATAACTCACAAGTGTTTCAATTATTAGCACAGTTGTGAAGATGGCACGGGGACTGTGGCAGACGGCAGTGAGGCAAAATTGTAACATGTTCCCTATTTCAAACCAGATTTCTGTTTCATGCAGACATCTCTAAAGACTTCACTTGTGGGTGTGCTGGTGATAGGAGACCCTTCCATGATCTACCTGGGTAAAGATGCATACTGTCTCTCCATCCCCTCAAAGCGGAGGTTGTGTGCGTTCCCATCTGTACTCTTTCCAGACACCTGTGGAGAGAAAAGTAATTAGAGATGAAGATCCATTATACATCCTGGTTACTGACAATGCAGCTAAAAATTCTAATCAGTGCACAAAGCTGCAGCCGCCTGCCAAAAATCAACCATGGAAAAGCAAGCAAGAGCTCAGCATTGCTATAGGAATTGATGAGCATGCCCCAAACATGATGTCAGCAATAGTCATTTCTTTCAAATATAGGCATTGTCAACTTGCATCATTCCTGTCTACATGCCAGGAATATACTATGGGCTATAAGACCCTCTTCGACTTTTTCAAGAGGATTTTAGTTTTTAGAACAGTGTTAGAATTACAGAAAAAGATTGAGTGGATAATACAGAGAGATCCCATATATCACATATCCAGTTTTTCTATTACTACTATCTTACATTTATGGCACATTCCTTACAGTTCATGAATGAATACGATACATTACTCTTAACTGAAGTTCATCGTTCAGATTTTACTTATTTTCTGTCCCCATTCAGAACACCATATTACATTTAGTCAATACACCATCAGAGGCCTCTCTTGGCTGTGACAAGGACCTTGTTCTTAAAAGCACCTTTTCTGTGAACTTTTCTTTACTGAGAAGGATGGGTGGCAACAAGTTACCTACTGCATAGCACCTGGGAAGCCCTGCCTGATCATCCTGAACTTCATCTGGTTCCCTCCCTATGAGTATCTACATAGGTGCAATGAGCTGCCTTCCATCTAGTTCTGGTGTTCATTGGATTTTCCCCTTTCCTGTGACCTTCATGTAGTCACCTCTCTTGGAACCTTTTCCATCAGCCTCTGAGATCCTGCTGGTCAGTGACTGAGTTCAGTAGGTTCTCAATACTGTGTTGGTTTCCTGAATATAAACACCTTACATGTTCCGGTCAAGTGGAAATAGGATGAGCACATAACATGTATTTAAAAGTGCTTCTTGAGTGACTGATTTCTTACCCAATCATGTCAACACATGTGTGATAACAGACCATTCATATGTTTGCTTTTGGGCTGGGGTAGCCTTAATATAACCAGCATGGAAGAAGTAAACAGAAAACCTGGACTGTTCATGAGAGGAGAGAAGTGTTTGCTGGTAAACACAGGAACCAACAGTGTGAAGGTCAGTAGTTGAAATTTTTCTACTTAACAGCATGGAAGCTATTTTCTTTCTACCAAAATTCACAGTTCTGTACAAAAACACCATCCCAACTTGTGGAGGGTATGTGTGTCGGGGCTGGGGGTGTGTATGGTGGGAGATGCTGTGAAGCTAATGCACACAGGCATTTAGAAGAAAGCCTATCACTGCAGAAGGTCCTTTAGAATGTGTCCTGTAAAACCTCTTTGTATTTCAGCAATACATGGGATAAGAGTTGCTGGAGTTATTTGAGAGTGAAAGAGTCCAGACAGATACCTGGTCAGGATGAAGACTGTACAAACACAGAAGCAAGTTCAGATAGAGAGACTGAGAATTCTCTGCATCAGGATAAAAATCCTTGATTTAAACCACTGACCTTTCAACAAAAGACGAGAGATAAAGATGGTGACAGATAGACAGGCAGACAGGGATGCACAAATAGCAAAGCAACAGATGTAAAAATCAGAAGTATTGTCCCTAGCCACTCCTATCTAAGGCTTTGCCTTATTTTTAAATGGTTTCCTATTCCAGAAGAATACCAGTACTATAGTACAGATTATTAATTGTGGACACTGGAAATATTCTGAGTATGGCTCTAGACATTCAACTCTTTTTTTCTTGTAGCCTCAAATCTCCAAGTTCACATTTTCAGCACTGTCATTCAGAACTGACCTGGCCTCTTGATGATGGCTTAGAACCTGGTGCCTCAAGAAGCAGTGTGCCTGTTGCTGTTCTGGTGAGCTCCTAACCAGCACAGTAGACTTATAGTGAAATACTGTGTGATTGTACATGAAAAACTGTGATCCTCATCACTTGTGAGTTTTTCTTTTACTACCGCAACATCATTAACACAGTTATTTGATTAGTATTACTGAGCACCTACTGTATCCTAATGCTACCTACTGTATCCTAATGCCACTGCATTACAAGTGACAAAGAAATCCAAGCCCCGTTCAGGAGGAGACAGGCCTGTGAACAATTATGCTACAACGAGATCACTGCTCCTGTGAGTCTGATGAGGAGGCAGCACGTGGGGGAGTTGAAGACAGCTTCATATGGGTGTTGACTCTTCATCTGAAACTTGAATATGGATGAGGAGGAGTCTTTTTGGGGGAGAAGATGAAAGAGTAGCAGGAAGAAGACTTCTAAGTAGAGAACAATAGTGAAACAACTTGAAGCCATAGAAAAAGCATTGTGTTTTAAAACAGAGGGCTTCAAGATTCTGGTAAAGCCAGAAATTGATTAAGGAGAAAAGGATGTCATTAACTAACAACAATATCAGTGGTACTACCATGATGCCTATGGCTATTACTATTTTTAGAGCAGTTTTAGATTTACAACAAAATAGAGGAGGACAGAGAGATTCCCCACAACCCTTTTTTCTACCTCTGCATAGCCTCCCCCATTACCAACATTCCCAATGAAGCAGTACAGTTGTTACAAATGATGAACATACTCTGACACTTCATAATCACCCAGAGTCCCAAAGTCCATGGTTTATGTTGGAGTTCTCACTTGGAGTTGTGCATTCTGAGGGTCTGGAGAAATAGATCATGAAAGTGATCATCCAGCGTTACAGTGCTACAGAGACGAGTTTCACTGCCCTGAAAATCCTCAGAGCCCTGGCTCCTCATCTCTCTTTCCTGCCAACTCCAGGAAACTAATCATCTTTTTATTGTTTTCATAATTTTAACTCCCAAAATGTCATATAGTTGGAACTACACATTATGCAGCCCTTTCAGATCAGCTTATTTCACTCAGTCACACACATTTATATTTCTTCCATGTCTTTTCATGGTTTCATAGCTAATTTCTCTTTAGTACCAAATAATATTCCATTTCAGGGATGTACCACTGATTCTTTATCCATTTATCTACTGAAACACAACTTGATTACTTCCAAATTTTAGGAATCATAAGTAAAGCCGTTATAAACATTTGTGTGCAGGTTTTCATGTGGACAAAAGTTTTCAATACCTTAGGTAAATACTCAGGAGTGCATTTTCTGGATCATGTGGTAAGACTATGCTTAGTTTCATAAAATACTGCCAATTGTCTTTCAAAAGTTCCATTTTGTGTGCCATCCAGTGATGAATGAGAGTTCCTGTGGCTCTACTTCCTCAACAGCATTTGGTGTTGTCTGTTTTCTGGATTTTGGCCATTCTCATAGGTGAGCAGTGCTATCTCATTGTTGTTTCAATTTACATTCCCCTGATGACATAAGATGTGTAACATCTTTGCATACGTTTATTTGCCATTCATATATCTTTGGTGAGGTATCTATTAACATCTTTCCATTTTTAGATCAAATCATTTGTTTGTTATTGTTGAGTTTTTAAGAGTTATTTGTATATTGTAGATAATAGTCACTTATCAGATCAATCTTTTGTGAACATTTTATCCTAGTCTGTTGCGTCTTCATTTTCTTGGCAGTGTCTTTTGCAGAGTTTTAAATTTTAATGAAGTTCAGCTTATCAATTCTTTCTTTTATGTACCATGTCTATGATGTTGTTTTCTCCTATGTTATCTTCTGAGAGTTTTATAGTTTTGAAGATTCTTCATGCCATAGTATGGCAGTTCTAGAAACAGAATTGATGAAGTTCTACACTATAGGATTTTCTGAAGGATGAAGACAAAAGAGTGACATAAGAATGTTAAGGTGGCAGGATCAATAAGATTGAGTGTAGATTAAAGGGAAAGATATCTCTAGAATAATGCTCTAGTGTCTGAGTTTAGCAACCTGCTGATTTTGGTAACATTCATCTAGATGGAAATAAAGAAAGATCAGATTTAGAAGTAGAGGAGAAAGGACTATTTAAACACACCAAGCTTGTGGTGGGAGTTCATGGCAATGGAAATATCTAATGGATAGTTGAGTATAAACAGTTGTAACTTAGAAGCCAGAGATGTTGAATTGAGAACTCTTTAGCATATAGATGGTAGTTGAAACCTTGGAAAAGTATGACCAAGTACAGTGTGTTAATACAGCATGAGCTGTATTAATTAATTACAATGAGCTAAATCCCCAGCCCCTCACTCTTTCCCTCTTGTAGAGTGTCACTCTGAACTACAGAGCCTGGAAAACTAAAACTACGTTTTCCAGAATTCCCTTGAAGCCTATGTACTGGCTGTGATTGAAGTTTGGCCACAACATTTGAGAAACAGAATTCAAGGAATGGCCACACTTTCACCGTTTATTCTGGCAAGAATGCCTAAAGGTATGATTGGTTTTCCTGTGGCCACTTTAGCAGATGTACCATTGCTGGTTTCTGGGGTAGGATTTAGCTCTCATACTGGATTTAGAGTTGGTGACAGCAGAAGTGACTTTCTAATTGTAGCATTCTCCTAATCAGGGTGGCTTTGAATATAGCCACTGTGTGGATCTGCAACCTAAAACTTTCTACACAGGAGTGGTGTCAGTGATCTACCTTTGGTAGATCATTTCTTAAATATGGCTTGGAAAATCATTGCTGAAAGTTTTTCCAGGGTCTTGTTTCTTGAATCTTCCTTATGATTCTGTAAGCCTATTATTCTGGTATAAAATTTCTTTCTGCTTAAATCAGCTCAAATAGACACTATTTTCTGCAACTGAACAGTGATCAGTGTAAGATCTGAAAAATTATATATGTTGGAACTGGTAATGGGATGGTTATTGGTGCTTTATTGAGAATGATTTTAGTGGATTAATGGGGAGCAAAAGCCAGACCCCATGGTGCTGAAAACTCCTACAGTTTTCTAATAAATAACCAAAAACAGGTTATACTATCTTAGTCCATCATGCTCACCAAATGGGATTAACATGTTTAAGTACATATACATTTGTTAGTGTCTTCTAAGTAGAAACAAAGATGACTAAAAAAAAAGTCC